GAACTAATCAAACTAATTACTAAGTAGACTAATTAAACTAATTACTAAGTAGACTAATTAAACTGATTACTAAGCAGACTAATTAAACTGATTACTAAGTAGACTGATTATACTAATTACTCTTTACTAACTACCTAGTTAGTACTCTACTATATCTGCCTTAATTAGTCGTAGCTATAGGTAACAGTCTAATTAACTCGTAATTAATAGGTTCTTTACTACGACATTAACTACTAATACCTATACCGAGATTACAAGTTATAAGTAATATTCCTTATACCGGCGCTATATCGCGCGAACTAGAATCCGACTAGAAGAAGCGCGCGCTAACTCTAGAAGTTACTAAAGTTACTAAAGCGCCGATAATAAAGCGCTAAAAACTCGACGCCGAATAGATAAGTTTCGGCGATAGGCTAGTCGGCGGGCTAGGGAAGTAGCCGACGAGAATATAGCGAGACTACTTCGCCGGCGATATCGACCCTAATACCCTTAACTCTAACGACGATACTCTTCGAGTACTATAGAAGAAGAGGAATAATAACGGCGATCGCGACGACGAATCGTCGGACATAGGCGGATTACCGACACTTACCCGCGAAATAATTAAGTCCTAGAAGGCTAAGAAGCGCGAGTCCGACGTAAAGCGTACCGATAAGCGCTAAGGATACGACATAATAAAACAGGTCCTAACTAATTTCTACGTATAGTCGACTACGCTAAGCGGCGTCGACGCGCCTTTAATACCGAATAGCGACAGTATAGTACGCCCGGGCGCTAAGGCGGTATTTAAAGGCCTACGTACCGTAGATCCCTTCGAATATAACCGACTATTATAGGACATCCTTCGACTATAGTAAGACGTATAGAAGGATAGCGCGAGGCGCTCGCTAATTACGGCGTAGAGGAAGGCGACGACTCGCTACGGCTAGGAATAGGAGTTCGTCTATAACGAGCTAGCTAAGGCTATAGGCGAGAAACCGACGACACTTACTAAGAACGACCGGATCGAGCGACAGAATAATCGTATTAAGCGGCTTAAAACCGACCTAGCTCTAGCCTAGTTAGCGACGTAGGGCGTCCGAGATTAGCTAGCGTCTACCCTTCGTAAGTAGAAGGACGACTATAAAGCCTAGTAGAAAGAGAAGGCCTAGAGCGATAGCCTAATCGCTACCTTACGGAAGTCGGGTATAGAGGGAGGAAACCGACTAAAGAGGGAGGCCTTCGTATTACTACCCGACGTAGTCTAGTCGTAGACGAAGATTAGCTCTTACGGTTCGAGTACGTAGACCGACATTTCCTCGTACCTAATACTCCGTTACGACCGAGAGATCCTTCGGCGAGGCCGACGCGCTTAGGTATAAGAGACTTACGAGTAAGCCCTTTATACCTACGCGGACGACATTACGACGGCTAATACGGAGTACTACGAGAGGTACGCCGCTATCTAGGAGCTCCTTTTCGGACCGCTAGCGAAGTTTATTAACGGTATTACGACGAGTACCTAGGGTAATAAGACCGAAGCGGCTAACTAGAACGACGCTTAAACTACGGCGGCTTATAAATAACGATAGAATAAGCTATAAGAGTATAGCTATTACTTTAAAGCCAGGTAGGCTGTTACGGAAGTGACGACTAGGTGGGACTAGCGTCTATTAGCTAAGCGGAGACATATATACCTTCTTTCCAGTAGCTAGATACCTTGAGAATGACATCTACGACTTATATTGCCAAACCCTGCCAGCCACATATTCGCATATTCGAGACATCACTACGCGTATGTGACAACATGCTGCATCAATCCTTCTTTTCGAATACACGCTACAGAAACGCGAGGCCTATCTTCCACCGTTGCCGGTCGAATGCAAAGAACCAGAACTGATCGGTACTGCGATCATCCGACACTGAACTACCTTCACCACCTTCTTGCGTCCTTCTAGAAATGGTCGGCCAGAGTGAGAGTGCCCGTCTTCATGATCATGTACTCGTTGATGGCGACGTCTTTACCCGACTCCTTGCCGTATCCACTTTCTTTGATTCCTGCCAAGGTTGATAGGTCAGCACATATACGCTTCAAACCATGCGAGATTCGACCTACCTCCAAATGGAGACTCTGCTGCGGAGGCATTGCCGGTGTTCATGCCTGGATATGGTCAGTATCATCTTCGGATCCCTTGCGTCGAGGCGATACATACCGATCATTCCAGCCTCCAAGTTCTCAAGCAACCTCCAGGTTCGGTCAACGTTCTTGGTGAAGAAGTAGCTGGCCAAACCCATGCTGGTGTCGTTCGCCCTCTGCACCGCCTCCTCTTCCGTGTCAAACTCGAAGAGAGCCATGACAGGCGCGAACGTCTCTTCTCGCGCAATCAACATGCTGTCCTTCGCACCGGTGATGAGCGTTGGCTCGAAGAAGTATCCGTCGTATCCAGGAGTGCCGTGCAGCTTCTTACCGCCGAGCACAACCTTACCACCGTTCTTCTGCGCATCTTCAACCTGAGCCTCGGCCTTTGAAAGACTTCGGTCTGTTGTGACCGGTCCCATGGTTGTGTCTTCCTTGGCACCATGTCCAACCTTCAGCTCGGCAGTCTTCTTTGACAGGATCTGCGTGAACTTCTCGTAGACTCCCTTTTGGACGTACACTCGGTTCGCGGTAATGCAGGCTTGACCGGCGTGGCGCCATTTGAGGGCCATGAGGTCTGCAGGGTGTCAGCGATGGTCAAGCAAAACCTATAGTCTTTCTGACTTACGCGTCGCGGCCGCCTCGAGATCGGCATCGTCGAACACCAAGAACGGGCAGTTGCCACCAAGTTCAAGAGTGCACTTCTTCAGGCCGTCGGAGCAAATCTTTGCCACGAGTTTACCGACACCTACGTCGAGGCAACAAGGGTCAGCGAATGCCTGACACTCTTCGAGATGCTCACTCTGACTGGTCCAACTTACGAGTGCTTCCGGTGAACGTGACCTTCTTGGTCAGTGGGTGCCGGCAAAGAGCCTCACTGAGAGCTGGTGTGGTGTCCAAGCTGGTGGGCATAACGCTGAAGACACCCTTGGGAAAGCCTGCCTTTTCGGCAAGATACGCCAGTGCTCCAACAGAGAACGGTGTCTCTGGGGATGGCTTCACGATCATTGTGCATCCAGCAGCCAATGCAGCACCAGCCTTTCGCAGGATCATGGCAATTGGGAAGTTCCATGGCACGAGGGCAACTGCGACACCAATGGGTTGCTTGACCGTAAACACTCTTCGGTTTGGTGCCGCAGGAATTTGGATCGTTCCTTGGACGCGCTCTGCTTCGCCGGCGAACCACCAGGTGAAGCCCAGGGCGTAATCCAGCTCGCCTTGTGACTCGAAGAGAGGCTTACCACACTCGTGCGTTACGATTTGCGCCAGGTCGTCTCGGTTCTCACGGATGAGCTGGTCCCACTTCAAAAGCCATTGAGCTCGTTGTCTCGGGTTGACCCTCTTGTACTCCTCGAACGCGGCGTGCGAAGTCTTCAGCGCATTGTCGACATCATCTGGACCCATGTCGGGTGCTGTCGCCCAGACCTTGCCATTGCCCGGATCTTATTTCTCCGTCAGTCTCAAGGAACGATGCACGGACAGGTGAGATCACCATACCAACAACGTCGAATCGCTTGCCAGACTTGGCTTCGATGTTCTGACCGCCAACCAGAGCCTGCTCCCTGAACAGCTCGGGGTTGTTCAACTGACATCCGGTAAGTATCACTCCTCACTCTGGATTCACAATCATTACCTTGAAAGGAAGATTCGGAGCCATATTGTTAGACGGCTGTTCAACTGTGGCTTTCGTGTCTTGGCTTTTCGCTGTTTTTCGTCGCTTGGATGCTCGCGCCAATTTGGATCGATCTGCTGCTTCTACTGAGAGGATTGTAGGATTGTAGGAACTCTCTGCGTCATGAACAATTATTTCTCTGCTTGCGGCAGTCTAGGCCGAGCTTAGGCGGGGTTGCCTCTTAGCAGTGTTGCCCTCCAGCTGTGCCCTGCCCGCACCCGCCCCACGTAGGCCGCATACGGCAAGTCAGCTGGGGGCGAGGGAACAACCGGGCACTACTACATGTAAGCCGGAAATAACGCTGCAGAGCCTCCAATGCTGCTCTCAAGTACCTGCTCTGAAGCTCCGGACGCCCGTACTGACGATGTGGCTCTCCGTCTTTGTTAATTCCAGGGACCATCAGCAGCGAGAACGCAATCCCCGCAATCACTACCCCACCGATCACTGCGAGCATGAACTCAACGCCTTCTCCATGTGAGGGAAAGCTGGCAGAGCATCGCGAGACGACGAATGACAATCCAACAAACCCCAGCAATGGCCTTGCATCCTATAGAAAGAAGAAACGCATGGCCAATCTCCTCTACATCCAAGCTACCTCCTCCATTGACATCCTGCCGTTGGCTTGAATTACGTGTCAGCAGCTTGGTGGTAGCATCTGCACATATAGAGCTCTTCTCCTTCCTACATCACAATGACTCCCAGAACCTCTAAGCGTCAGAAGACTACCCACGGAAACACTACTACAATGGCACACGCGTGGACCGACCTCCCTTCGGCCCTTTCGAGCGCTCTTCCAAAGGCCAACAAGGCAGCTCAAGATGATGAGCAACTGAAAGCTTTCACCACGACCAATGCCATTGCTGCCCCGGCGACTTTTGGTATCAAAGCTGCTGGATCTAACAATGCGATTCTTGTACATGTCACGAACGGCAAGGCCGACATCCAAGCCGGTACTACCAAGGATTGCCTCTTCGTCCTCTCTGCGCTTCCAGAGCAATGGCAAGAGTTCATGAAGCAAACTCCGGTGATGCCATACCAATCCTACTGGGGTAGGTCTCGCGTTTCACTTACCCATCAATTCACACTCACCACCTGCAGCCATCAGACGCGAGATAGACAAAATGGACGCTGACACGCTGAAAGGCATGTTTGGGATGAACATCAAGCAACAAGGCATCGAGATCCAGGGTGATCAAACCTCCTTTGCCCACTGGACGCACGTCTGGAGGCGTGTCTTGGAGCTCATCCACGATGCTCATGCCGGCCCTACTCCAGCTGACGACGAGCCGGAGATGGATGAGGATCACATCGTAGGACGATACGCCTACATCACCTCTCCTGGTTGGGGCAAATGCAAGGTCTTCTACGAACAAGCAGGCGAGGGAGACCAGGACATCGTCTTCTTGCACACGGCCGGTAGCGATGGTCGCCAATACCACGGCGTCCTGAACGACGAACGTATGCGCAAGAAGTGCAGAATGACCGCCTTCGATCTCCCAGCTCACGGCAGGAGCTTCCCATACCAAGGGTAGTCCCCATCCATTCCCCTCCCGAAAAAAAACACCAGCTGACTCTTATTCCCACTTCCCACAGGTATTGGCCCGGCAAACACACCAACACAGAAGACTCCTACGTCGGCTGTATCGCCGCTCTGGTCAAGAAACTCAACCTCAACAAACCCATCATCTGCGGAGCTTCCATGGCAGGCCAAATCTCCCTCGCCTGTGCCGTTCGCTACAAAGAAGTCGGATGCTCCGGTACCATTCCTCTCCAGGGAAGCGACTACCTCAACATGGATCGCCAATGGTACGACCGGTCCCCCTACGTCAACCAATCCCTCTTCAACCCGGAATGGATCTACGGTATGATGTCGCCCACCGCGCCGCTCAAGAACCGCCAGCTCGTCTGGCACATGTACAGCGCGCAGGCATACGGCGTGTTTCACGGGGATCTCGATCTCTACTTCGTGTTGAACAAAGGGAACCTGAGAACCGAGAAGGCAGTAGCGAGGTGGCTTACGGAGTTACCGACTCAAAGGAAGGTAACCGGATTCGGATGTCAATGGACTTACTATTGTCAAGGCAGCTATAAGTATACCTTAGGCAGCCTAGGTTTAGAGGAAATTAACCCTTCTACATACTTACTTTTCAGTAGCATAACATTCAAGAGGTTATGAGCCCGGGTTCGCTCGGGTCTCTTAATAGCCTACATTCCGCTGTAACAACAACAACAAATTCAGCTTACTAACGACCAACTCGCTTACAATGTCTAACGACATGACCGACGTCGATTCAGCCTTCAAAGGCTACAAATTACTTGAAACCGCTATGTAGTACCTGGGATGGACTCGCAACTTTAAGACACTCGCTTAGGCCAAAGGGCTCTAGGCTTATGTCTCTAGAAGGGCCGAAGTCTGCGAGAAGCCAAACCTAAACGATTTCTTTCAGGGACTCCGAATTGTCGCTAACACCGAAGCCGATAGCGGGGCTAAAACGAAACTAGACGATGTCCTATTTAACAAGGTTAAGAAGGAAAGGACATCGAAGACTCGAACCAGTTTTCTTCCCTCTAAACTACAAGGGACCAAACCTCTATTAGGGGACACGACGGAAGAAGGACAGAGCTCCTCCGAGGTACCGGCGCTAACGACAACGACTACGTCAAAGCCCTTGGATCTAAACACTTGCCTTACGCTATACAAGTATAACGAAGAAGCTTACAACAAGTATTCTACTAAGATGGAACAAGCCTATATACTTATCGACGCCTACGTATCTCTAGCCATTCGAGGAAGATTATAGTAGTTTAATAATCCCTTTATAAAGTGGATCTTTATCCGTAATTAATACTCTCTCTTACTAGTTAGGGCACTTAAGCTTGCCTAAGACAAGTTCGAAAGACTTTAGCTAGTAAACTATAAGAACATATAGACTTATATTAACGAAGTTAAGGGAGCTAAGCTAGACATTACCGATATAGGAGGAGAGTGTTCCGATATAATAGTTGTATCGAAACTAGTACGTAGATTAAGCGACGAGTATTAGGCATTCGTAGACTATTATTACTTCTTTAGAGACACCGACGAAGTAACGATAGACCTTAGTATAATAACTTCTCGCCTACTTACCTTCGAATCCGATCTGTAGACGCGTAAAAGAAAGAAGACGGTTAACGCCTTTATTAAAACCGAAACTCGTAAGTGCTCTACCTACGGAAAAAATAGCTATACCGACGAAAGATGCTAGACTACGTACCTAGAACTTAAGCTGTCCCCCGAAGAGCTTCGGGCTAAACGAAACTAACGTAAGGACGACTCGTTAAACAAAGCAAGCAACTCTAACTCTAACTCTTCTCTACTAAACAGAAGAGTACTAGCTATAACTACTACTAATCGTAAACACTTCGATTAGGCCTTATAAGCTAAAGCTCTATAGACTAAATATAAGACCTTAACCTCCCGACTAAAAGCCGAAGCTAACTTACTCCTTTAGGAAGAAGGAGAGGACAGCTTAGTAAGGGGGGTAAAAGGCAAAAAGGTTTCAGCTTTTAGTGTTTTATGTTCCAAAGGAGATGTAAGTTAGACTTATACTAAGTCTAATAGTAAAGAGAGCTCTCTAGGTCGTTCTATTACAAGTCTAGTTTCATCCGATAATAATCTAGATAGTAATAAAGAGAACCGACCACCGTAATGCTTACTTGTATCTAGACCTGATTCTAAACGTAACAAATGGATTCTTAACTCTAGCGCAAACATCTACGTAGTTAATAGCCTAAGATAGTTTGAAAACTACTATAAATTTAATCTCCTTATCGGTATAGCTAATAGAGACAAATCCCTACATATCTACGGAGGAGGAACGATAGTTATTACTACCTTAGCTCTAGACGGAGAAGAAATCGACATCCGTCTATCCCGAGTAGCCTATACTCCGGATCTAAGATATAACATTATGTCTATGTTATAACTAGGAAAGGTTAGACTACACGGAATTTGGACTAATAGATCTATAAACATTACTACATACGAAGGAGACGTTATAGGACAAGCGTTCGAACATAAAGGTCTCTATGTCTTACTATATAAAAAGGTAGATCCTTCTAACGAGCACGAACCTATAGATGTCTCTAAACAACAGATTATAGCTACAATTAATTTCAAGGATCTAGTCCTAATATAGTACCGAAGACTAGGACATCTTAGCTTTAAGAACATAAGACGATTGCTTAAGGTTAGCTAAGGGATAGACATTACTAACAAACAAATTAGAGAGAAGCTTAGTACCGTTTGTCCTGTATACGCAACTACGCGAGCGATCGTACGGGTTCCCCGAGAACCTACTACGCGAAGATTCTAGGAACCCGGACAACTAATCTATCTAGACTTATAGGGACCCTACCCTATTATAGGAACCTACGGAAGACATAGGAGAATTAAGTACTCTCTTACTACTACCGACGATACATTAAGGCACACATAGACTGAACCCTATAGTACTCGAGAAGAAGTAAAAGATAAGACTATCGATCTCCTTAAAAGGATTTAGCGCTCCTATAGTATTACGATTCGAAAGATTAGAACGGACAACGAGTTTATACACTACGAAATTGTAATATAGTGTCGAGAGTAAGGAATCGAAATCGAATACTCTACTCCCTATACGCATTATTAAAATAGAGTAGTAGAAAGACAATTCCGAACCGAAAGGGAGCGAACCGCTACTATAATTTAAGAGTACCTCCTACCTCGACGTACGGAGCGTATTATCGAAGGTAGGATAGAAGAAATGCTAAGGAACAGTACGGCTCCGGAAAAGCTGTAGCTAGAGGCCTAGGCTTACGTAGTATAGATTAAGAACCGGTCCCTAACTAGAGCGCTTAGGAACAAACGGACACCCTTTGAAACCCTAACCGGATTCTAACCCGATCTTAGCCGAGAACGTATCTAGGGAAGTCGAACCTATGTTACTATTAGCCGTAAAGATCTAAACAGAAGAAACGAGGGCAAGCTCGTTACCCCTAGAGCCTAGCTAGGATACTTCGTTAGCTACGAAAGCGAATTAATCTATCGGATCTACAATCTAGATAAGGACCGAGTTTAAAGGATATTAGTAGCTAGAATCGAAGATAGTAAAGGATTAGATAATCTATAGGATAACCTAAGTAGGGTAGTTAGACTTCTAGACGAGGAAGAAGATACTAAGAGACTAAGGTTACCGACAGACATCTCTAAAAGCGACAGCTCCGACCTAGACGACGACGAAAACAACGATAACCCTAGTAGAAATGCACCTACTCCTTAACTAGAGAATAGTAACGGAGAAGAAGAGGAAGATCTCTATAACTCTACTCCTCTACCGTAGAATAGGCGCGAGCTATCTAGGTAAGTTAGTAAGGAAAGGATAGAGCTAACATTAGAAGATAATAAAGACGTAAAGTACTACGGAAGAAACTAGGAAAGCGAGTATAATAACAATAGGGCACCTCGCCGTCCGCTAAGTAACACTAGTATAGAATACGACGAAACAAGTAACGTCGAAGAAGTAACTCGGAACTTGTTTAAGGGAATTTACGAAGTAGGCGACGTACGTACTATAGCGCCCGTATAGACACCGGTACGGACCTAAGTTTACGGGCGGTAAGGGCCGTAAGGGCCGTAAGGATTACAGTTACAAAACCGGCGCCGAAATAATAGAACTACATTAAGATTCTTCTACCTCGCTACTAACATAGCGCTACGGAAGAAGAAGAACACTATAGACGACGAAGAATATACTATGTCGAGTAAGGAACTCGACGAAGAGCATAATACTAAGTCCGATGCCGAGTTCGACGCCGAGTCCGACGTACCTAATCCTAGTAACGATTACGACGCCGAACCCGAGGCGCCTACGACTAAGCGAAAGAGGAAGGCGTAACTATACGATCCTAATAGAAAGAGAAAATGCTACAAGTGCGGCGACGACATTACGTACGCTAATCTTAATATATACCTCTAAAGATATACGGGAATACTACGCGTACAAAAGATCTAAGATCCTAATACTAAGTACGACTAGTGTCTTCTATATAAACGAAAGTACGACGGGGTCTATCCCTTTAACGAGAAATGCTCTAACTGTCTAAGACTGAAGCAGTTCTATGTAATCTAAGGAGGTAAGAAACCGCTTAAGGTACAGCTAGTAGAGTAGAAGTGTAAGAACTACGTAAAGATTAGATTCAAATGCGACAGTACCTTCCTATTCGACGAAAAGTACACATTATACCGTAAGCGCAAATACGCCTACAAACCTTAAGACTAGACCCCGCCGACGAAAATCTGTAACGAATACAAATCGTCGGGTTCCGGAAGTAGTATAAGAAGCTACGACGGAAAGGAACCCTACGGGAAGTGTTAATCGAAAGATACGGCTTACGTATACTAAGAAGGCGACATTATCTACTCGTACTATCCTAAAGGAAGAGAGAAGCTAGACGAAGTAAAGGAATTCCGAGATATAGGAGCTAAAGATAGAGAGATACCGTGTTACGAGTATATACGTAAAGTGTAAAGACAAAAGTCTACTACTACGATACATACCTACGACGGTAAACTACTATGTAATAACTGTATCGACAATCCCTACAAAAGCTGCTACTCCTACTAGGAACACGGACATATTAAAAGATCTATGATTCCTAGTAACAAGGCTAAGGAATTAGCGCGCTAACAAAAAATCAGAAATAACGAATACTACGCTAGACGCGACCTAAAGAAAGGTACTAATATCCGAGAATAACTTAAACATATAGGTTCGGACTCGGACCTTAATAAAGAAGATCCTAACAGCGACATCGACTACCTACTTAATCTAACTAAGAACTTTAATAAAGAAGCTTACGAGTCGGATTTAGGGGGGGTAAGTAACAAAAGCTAGGACGAGGACTCCGATCGAGACGAACCTATTCCATCTCTAGTTAACTTAGATAACTAATCGAATATAGGACACCCCGAGAAAGCGTAAGAAGATGTCGAAGATACAGTCTTCGAAGATGCCGAAGAAGGAGACACTAGAGAAGGAAACGAGTTAGGGGGAGTTAGAGGAAGAACCACCCTCGAAGAAGAGACAGAAGAGGATAATATTACGGGCGAAGGAAATTAAGGATTAGCTATATTAACCGAAGAAGACCGAAGTAGAGAAGGACAAGGAGAGAAAACTAGCGATAAGCAAGATTCCGGACATCTAAAGTTCGGCACTATAGGTCTAGAAGATAGCTCGGATCCCTTTAGTATAGACGAACTGGAAAGTCTAGGCGTTACCGTTAGACGTAAGAGTAAACCGAACTACCTAAACGATAACGAAGGAGGTAGTTAGGAATCTAAAGGAGATAAAGAACTAGACAATTCCGACGACGAACTAGCCCGAAACTTCTCCCTAGACAGCTCTAACATTCTAGCCTAATAGGGAACACTACTGTCTAAGAAAGCTAACCTCCTTCGTACCTATCCGAGATGTGTTGTTTACGTCGCCGAAATAGCCCTAGATCTAGAACTAAGAACAGTAAAAGAAGCACTACTTCGTCCTAATACCGATCTCTAGAGAGTATGTATTAATAACGAATACGCTAGCTTCGTCGACAATTACGTTTTCGACATTGTCGATAGACCGAAGAACAGACGTGTTCTACAAACTCGGTTAGTTCTTAGACGCAAACTTGGATCTAATAGTAAGGTGAAAAGATACAAAGTGTTAGAAAGTGCAGTCCTTAGCGGCTGTACTAGATAGGGCTAGTTACATAATTTGGTTATGTAACCTATAGCTAGGAACTCTAAGTTTAGGAGGATTATACATCGCTCTAGATAATTAACTCAATTAACACATTAGTTCCTACTGCCTGCCTACCTTATAGACACCTTCCGCTACAGCTATACCTATACAAAACTGTTATTAGGACACCCTTTTAGGGACTTAGGAGAATAATACCTATCGTTTAGCTCGTCGACGCCGTAGTTACTATACTACCTCTCCTACGCTTCGCTAGCGAGGTACATAATACCGTAGAGTACCCGATTACGGTCTTCCTTATAGGT